GTTTCAGCTGTGGTAACTGATTGTAACTGACATATGACTATTTTATACAAAATCAATACAATAAAATATGCTTTAGTTCTAGTTATCTCAGTTAATGGGTGATGTGTTTGTATTGCCAAATGGTGGTAAAATATGATAGATTTCAGACACAAAGTAAAGATTTACTATTGAGATGTTGGTGAATTTAAACATTTATCAGCGTCTGTCAGCGTCTGGTAGATGTTCACATTTTAAAAAGTTAATTTCCCACCTATAATCACAGTGTATGATTTAGGCTGAAATGTAGACTAGATATTAACACCTGCCTAGTGTACCTTTAACCAGAGTGTATACACAAACGATGCAGCTGCTGCAGCAGCAAATGTCCTGAAAACGATATTCTGGATTCAAACTTGGTCGGCTCTCTTTAATCTGCCAATTTAACAACAACACAAATTCAGCTCTTATCTGAGACTCTGCAATTTAAAATCCAGTCATATTTACCTGTCCGACCACACTGGAGAGTAATGTTTACATGGCATTTAATGAAACATTAACCTGTCGACAGTTTATTTACTCAGCTACTATGGCCTGTATTCTCTGCCTCACTGATTTCTGGTACCTACAACACTGGGGGGAACTTCTCACTTTAAAGTGTTATGTCCTGTACAAAACAGCACTCAATAAACATAGTTGTGTTTATTTGGATTCAGCACTAATGGATTTGTGTTTAATGATAGGATCAAATGTAGCCAGTGTTGACCTCTCTCCCGGGTTTCCATGCAACATATTTGTCCCAGGTGGCTTCATTTCAAGTGCAGCGACAAGACACAGTGGCTACCAGCTGGCACATGACAGAGAAGATCAGCAGTTTTACACCACATTATTCAGACAAGAGAGAACTTTTTCATACACAAGCTGCAACCCATGCTGAAATACAGTTACAATGTATATCACAGCAAAGCTACAAGCAAGGATGATTTCATACAAGAATATTATGCTGATACAACAGGGAACAAAAGAAAAGTCAGCACAAATTATAGAAATGCCAGCCATTTTATAGAAGTGAAGGGACTGTTCTGCATTTTTTAATAGTCATAGTCAACAGTTTATTTCTAGTCAACTTTGGACTATAACTCAAGTTCAAGCATAACAACTGAACTCTTTGACCGGTCCTGTTTGTCTCTCTTCCCTGCCCTGTAATTATTCTACAGCCAGTTTCATAAATAAACATTCTGAATATTAACTATCACCATCTGCAGCTGTCACCACTGACCTCGGATCAGATGCTGTCTCTTCCTGAAGTACGTGATCTTGGAGGTGTAGTCATTATACACAGAGTTCATGCCACGATTCTCCAGCCAGTGTGCTGTGGCCACCCCTCGTCCCTGCACCTTCATGGAGTGCACTTTGGTGTCCTTCCGTAGCTCCAGCACCACCTGGCCGGACACCACCTCCCCTCCAGTGAACGCTGCATCAGCTGGACCATCCAGCTCCAGCTTGAAAGACTTTATGGAGCTCAGCGTCATTGCTATGAGTAAAGACAGTTAAACAGTAAATAAACACTTATTTGATGATATGGTTTAGAGCTAAACAGTAAGTACAGGAAGAATGTGTGGAACTGGTTTTCAGGTGTTGTGAAAACCACACTGCAAATTAGCCAGAACCAGCTGAAGGCATAAATGATTTAGGTTTCTAGGGCTCCTGTGGACACCAGGCAGTACATAAGTGAAGTCCAGTATTCTCTTTTTAAAATAATTGGGCACTTCCCATTAAACAGACCATAATGTTAATTTTAGCTATTTTCTTTTAGAGATCTTCATTTCAGGGTGGATCTGGGTGGCTCTGATTAGGGTCCCAGACATGCCAGGACCATCCCTGCTAGTAGCTTTCTGTTTTTAAACAAGTTTTAGAAATGAAGTAACATCATTATCATTTGTGACATTTTTCTTTTGGTTGGATCGAACTCAACTACACGAAATGGTTACTTAAGAATCAGAGTGTATAACTTAACCATAACCTAATCAAATTCTGTATTGATATAAATATTTTATAACGTTATTTGGCAACAGCAAATAACTGAAACTGTGCGGTCAACAATATGTGAGTCATATTTTATAATACCTTTCTGTCAGGATTCTCCCACCGGGAGAAACAAATAGTTCTATTCACAACAGTGCTCTGTGAAACAATATCTTAATCTGTCTAACAATATTTAACGTTACATTTTTTGTTATGCGGATTTTATCGTTAATTTTATGAACGTCTAAGAGCGGAGTCCAAGCCAATCAGCATTAAGAAGTGGGACTTTGTGGGACGTTTTACAAATATAGTTGTGAAGGTTGAGCTGCCGCTTAAAAAAGTCAAACTCACCGGCAGGACAGGAGCTACGTAGGGGTCCTCTCAAAGGTGAAGAAACTGCTCAATAGGAGCACAGCGTTTATAAACGGTAAAAGGTTTATATTTAACCCATCTAGCAGCCCAGAAAGTAGCAGCCTGTACTACACCAATGATAAAGAGCACATGCGAGTCACGTCCGCCTACTTTAACACGGAGGAGGAGGACTGCGTGGACTGCGTCAAGTGAGGCAGAATAACACGGAGAATTTCCGGCTACACTCTCAAATCTAAACCTTGTGTTCCGTATTTTACCCTTCCTTTTTTATGGTTAAATGTTGTGTGAGCACAAGCTCAAAAAGTACACAATTGAAGAAGAATGTTATCGAAAGCACATCCTTCATACAATATTTGATCTTCATACACTATTTGATTTTGACCATTGGCTCAAATTTTGTTGTACAACAGAGCCTTTTATTTTGAAGGCAGTGTGTTTTTTCAGGTTTTTTTTTTCCAGTTAAATGACCAATCACATTGATTACGACCAATAGCCTATTTAGTCCTTCTTTATTATAAATACAAATAAAAAAGAACAAGTAGGCCTACAGAACATACAAGCATGATGACATTCACAGGCTACTTGAATTATGTAAAAACAGCAACCCTATTTCACGGTAGTAGCCTACAAAACCATTAAAAAAACAAAAGGAAAATAATAGGCTATGTAAATTAAAATTAAAATCGAAATATATTTTAGAAGAGAATTCAGAATCATCTCAGTAAAACCAAGTTTCTGTGTTTGGGTTTGCTGAGTCATGTGACTCAGTATTTGAAAAAAGATCACTTGATCACCAAGTTACATTTTTGCAGCAACTCAAGTAGTTCTCCTGAAAAAAACATTTTCAGGAGTTTGCCAAATAAAATTTCATATGATGAATAAATCAAATCACTGGAGGATTCAGTAAGAAATAAACATCCTTTGTGGCATTTCTTATCAGACTGTGTCACTATAATATCCTACTGTGCTCTTAGTTAATAATTCTACTGCAACATTTGCACGTGTCATGCTCAAATATCTATATCTATATCTAATATCTATAACCCTATCATTCAAATTAGCAACACATCATAGGTGTGATTTAGACACGTGTCCTTGAGCAGGACCTACTTGCTCATCTATTAATGTTTATTGTTTTTAAATGACCAGGTGCACAAAAAGGTCATACCCCATTTTTATACATTCCATTGTCTTAAATGAAAATGGCTGAAAATTAGCCTTTCTTGATACTATATACAGACAAAGTCAAGCAAGAGCTGTTGAGTCTATTCTGCAGTTGAATTTAGTATTAAACCATGTTAGTGGAGCTGTAGCCCTTGAACCTGAACCTCGGCTTGTTGACCAACTAACATTCCAGCCTATAACTGGACTGCTGCATTTTCATCAGGTTGATGAACTCCAGATTGAGGTTATAACTATTTATGTGCTTGCCTGCCAACTTCTTTATCTGCAGAACCTGCATCTCAGGGTCAAGGATGTGTTATTGCTACAACATTTTTTTGATTGTTTTGTGGTCAATCATGCTTGAAGGAGAGGATGAGAATCTTTCTGCTTAGCAGTTAGCGTTGTCATTGTAAACATGGTGGAAGTAGGACAGTTAAATCCAAGGCTGCTTCCCTCCCTGGTCTAAATATGACAAGGAAGGCTAAGGTTCATGTTTTAGCCACCTAACTGCTAAAGCTGCACATGCACACTGCATCAACATTTCTGTTGTTCCCTGTACTGATCTGGGTAAATGTTTATTTATTGTCATCCCAGTAAAATTACGAGCATTAATCCAATTCATTGAAACACACGGCACTGCATGATGATGTGACAGAGTGGTTTTAGTTGGATGCATGCTTGAAATTTTAAGCAACAAGACTGAGGATCAGGGTTAAAGTTCTGCCCGTGAATTAATTAGAACAACATTGCGCCTCTTTGCTAGGGGTTGCTAGTTCTGGGAAAACATTTAACTCAACAAGGAGTTCACAGAATTCACTACATATTGTTTTTTACACAAACACAAACGTTCTACGTGTTTTTCTCATTGAAGTCAATTATTAAAAACATTTTTAAGGGTGGACTTAATTCTTTTAGAAACCTGTTTAATTCCAGTGATATAGTGAATACTCCTTTCACAAATCAGAATCTTTGCATCATTTGGACAATTTCATGGTGAGACAATATATTTTAATTAATTAAATTTCAAAACAGCCTCCTTTTGAGCACAACTTGTTTTAGTAATTTTAAATTATGTCTGACATTCAGTGTTAAGCTGTATAGTATTTGTTAGTGTTAGATTGTCTGTATGCAATTGTATGTATTTTCCCATTTTGAAAAGTGCAATTCTGAGTTTACTATTATCTATACAATTATTCCAAATAGCATCTTCAGAAAGAGTGGAGGGGGTAGAGTACTTTAAATATGTGAAATACTGTACTCTGCACATTTTAAATTTCTGTAAATATAAATATCTGTAAAAATGTCAGCAAAACTATTCTTCACTCTTGATTTAATCTTTTATCAAAAGCTGCGCAACAACACAAGAGCAAGTGACCAAGTTGTGTTTCTCAGTCACTTCATGACAAAATGACTGAGGAACTGGCTACAGCTGGGACTCTGCAAGACCAATGGTTTGGCGGTGTAGGTTTCACTGTGGGTGGTGGTGAAGTGCTGGTAGGCCAGTGGAAATTTGATGTTGGTCTATTTGATAAGAAAAAGAGAGGAAAACAATATTGTATTACTATATAATACTACTATTACTACTATTTTTACTACTATTACCAATGCTATTACCATATTATTTACAACTACTGCTACTACTACTACAGTTAACATTAAATTATACAGGTGAGTGGAAACATCACCCTCTGCTGTGATTGACAAGGTGTGTGTCTGCAGGCTTTCAGAGGGAGGTAATCAGACTTAGTGGTGCTGAGGCTCAGCCCATGTTCTGCCAAACAAATGACACACATTAAATACATCTACATGCGCCTCCATTTAAACACATAAACATGACCATCACCTGGTCCACTCAGTATGTTGCTTGGCAGCTGGATGACGGGTTTAGCTGGCTCTCTATCCTGTTTGATGTAGTGTTCTTTGGTTGTGGTTGTGTAGGATGGGCCTGACAGGTGGGGTGGGCTGAACTGGACATGGCTTTTGGTCATCAGGTCAGGCCCGGGCACATACACTGGAGGTTCTGTGTGGTTCAGCTACAGGGAAGAAGACAGTAAACATTAACAAATATGACGCTGCTGGATCTTTTAACATAACTAACTCCATGAAAATCAACTTGATATGAACATGTGTGCAAAGGTCATAAATTATCCTAAAGTGCAACATATGTACCAGTAATATTTTTTGTAAATACAATAACAATTAACTAAGCAGAAGCTCTATTATCTTACATCAGAAAAGGAGATTCTGTTGGTGGTGACTGACATCCTTTCTTTGTTGCGCCTCGTATCAGTGTCCCCCTTGGGTAAGGAGCTAGAATTTTTGTTCCTCTTTATTAGAACAACTGGGTGTCCTGGGAAAAAAACAAATAGACTAATCCATGCAGGATAACAGAGATAAAGGAACATGTAAGCACCCATGTCCCAATGTCCCTAAACTGTACACAGTTTAAGTCACCTAGGTCAGCCATGTGAAACTCTGGAAGACAACACTAGAGGCATATGTTTTGGTGCATATAAAGGTCATAACAGGTGCACTGGAGAAGCAACAGCAAGATAATCCCCCCAAAAGGGAATGCATTTTGCATGTTTTGCATTTTGCTAGTGTCCTTCTCACTACTGGTAGCATGAGGAGATAACTGCAGCTCATTCAGGTAACACAGGTAGTCCAGCTCCTCCAGGATGGCACATCCATAAGTGCCATCACAAGAAGGTTTGCTGTGTCTCCCAGCATAATCTCAAGAGCATGAAGGAGATACTAGGAGATGGGCTCCTACATGAAGATCCCTAAATGACTTCCAGTGGGCCCTGGGTTCCTATGGTGTAGGACAATGCCTGGCCTCATGTGGCCAGAGTGTGTGGGTCAATTCTAGATGATGAAGGCATTCATGCCATTGACTGGCCTTCACGGATCCTAGACCTGAATGCAACTGAGAACCTCTGGGACGGTGCGTCGGACGTTGTGTATCGCTGCAGCAACAGACTGTCCAGCATCAGTGAGCTCGACAGTCTGTGGCACTGGGAGGAGATCCCCCGGACACCATATGCTGTCTCATCAGGAGCATGCCCAGATGTTGTCGGGAGTGCGTACAGGCATGTGGGGCCGTACACACTACGGACTCATGTTTTGAGTTGCCGTGATGAAAGTCACGCATTGATTTTTGGTGTGATTTTGAATCCAGCCATCAATCAGTTGGTGATATTATTTTCCACTGACCATAGTTACGTCATTTTGTTCTTAATGAATTATACAACATACAGTAAAGATATAAAACAGAACTGATGTGTGAGTTAGGTGTTCCCTTAATTTTTTGAGCAGTGTATTAGTGGACGTATTGGTATTTGAAGGGCCTAAGCAGCTGGTTAGTTCATAGGCTGTTACTAAATACACTGAAGACATCTCCACTATGGAGAATTCAAGAATTAGATCTGAATAGCTAGCTGCCCAGAATGAAAACTTGATGGAAAAACCTACCTGGACAATAACACAGAAAACACTCACCCGGCTTGTGGAAACAAAAGCCTTCTCTGGATGTGCATGACCATGAGTCATTAGAGAAATTTCCAAGGTTGAGCTTCAAATGCTCTTTAATCACAGATGGCCTGTATCAAAAACAAAGATATTGCTTTCATTGTATTTATGTGTGGATAAACTCAACACCAGATAATCCGAGCTTTCAAAAAGTGACAAATTTTAAATGATTTTTAAAATTTTAGACCACTTAAGCATTTCAGTGAATCAAATGCTACTTCTTTTCATCCAAGACACCTCAAACCTCATAATACCGCAAGTCAAAACATGCAGTGAAACCAAGAGAGGTCTAAAATATCTGAAAAGAGATCTGAAGGGTAACACCAGGCCCTTCACTCTTGGTTTCCTCTGTTTGTCATCTCTTTGTGTAGGATGTGAACTGAGTCATGTGACGAGAGTTTTTCCAGCAAAACAGAAAAGCTGCAGACCTGTAGACAGTAGGCCGGCTGAATGACGCAGTGTGGGTTGTCTCTCTTTCTACAATCTTCACAGGATCACCCATAGCCACTGAGGAGGTGTGCTGAAAAACAACACAGCCTTTATAAAACCCATGTCATTGAAAGCTTCATAGAAATGTCAATACCTGTGTCACTCTTGTGTCTACTTAAAGCTGATGGTGCTGGTACTCCAGGTCATAGTGTGCTTTTGTTTAGCATCCACACAGCTGAGAATAAAGTACTCCAACCTGCATTCTGGTTTAACCTGAGTCTTTCTGTGATGTCGGAGAAAATGTTTTCCCTGGAACTGCTTTAGTTTTTCAAAAAGATTAACAAACCAGTTTAGTGTTGTTCCTAAATCTACTCCTGTGCCATGACTAAACTAGTAATAAAGCACCATGGGAGGTAGACTGGTAATTAGTCTAGGTTGAGCTACTTTAGCTTACTTTATTTAATGCCCCATAGATTAATCTATGAAAACGGTTGATATTTTAGTTGTGTATTGTATGTTTTGAATGTAAAATTTGAATATTCACAGTAAGTAGTGACTACAGCTGTGGAGTACAACATTTCCACCTGAGATGTGGTGGAGTGGAGGTATAAAGTAGGGGAAAATGGAACTATTCAAATAAAATACAATTATCTAAAAAATGGACTGAAGTACAACACTTGAGTAAATGTAATTACTTTTCACCACTGTTAAGTACATATAAAATTTCTTGTCCAGTTTTTAGGCTCAGAGCAGTTGATGTTTTAATTACTAACATGGTAATATCTGCTGCGCATTTTAAATTTACAGCATACGGTGAATTCTGTGTTATATCTGAGCTAAAGCACAGACATCCGGTTGACATAGCTTCCAGTGCTAAGTGGAGGGGTGTGATGTTGTGAGAATTGTCTTTTTTTTAATTGTGACTTTTGAAGAACTGTCAGCATAAATCAGTGTATAGGTTTTATGGCAACAGTTTCACTTGAGAGCTTGCAGGTTTTCTTTGATCGTAATAGTTCACGACCAGCAGCTGCAGCTGCCATTTTACCTTTTCCACAGATTGAGCAGCTCTGCTCCAGGCTCCCTGGAAGGTGTTGTTGTAGTGGGAGACAAACCCACGATGGTGTCTGTCCCCTTTGATTGTTGGAAAACCCTCTTCTACAAAGAAAATTTGACATTTTACAACACAATATGTTATGCAGGATTCAGAGATGAACTCTAACCCAGATTCCTTCACTGTTATTCATTACAAAGCGAGGATGTTGTCTGGCTCACAGTTTTTTTGGAATGTTTACCCACTTGAAAGTTAATTCATAACCAAATTTCATGAATGTTACCATCAATCACAATTGGCTTAACACTGAATCTATAATATGGATTTCTTGTTTTAATCAGAAATTGCAGAAAAAGAATCAGAGCAAAATTAAGAATGCTGTCACTAACCTAGATGTTTAGCCATGGCTTTTACAACAGGAGAGACATGGTGTGGGGTGAAGGACACTTTGTTGACACTTTCTGGGATCTTGCCCACTTGCTGGATTTTCTTGATGCCCAGTGTTTGTCGGATAGGAGTGGGACGATGCTGGAATGGCTGGGGCTGAAACGCCTGGGACTGAGTGGTGAGGAAAGTAACCTCCCCAGGGTCTGTTTGCATCTTGAGGTTGGTGTGAAGCTTGGTCCAGCATGCGGTGCGGGTCATCTGTGGCAATGGGTGACGCTGGTAAGACACCATCACCTCTGTCAGGAACTCCTTGATGTGCCTCAAGTCCTTGTGGTCCACCTGGGCTTGGTGGGGCTGATGAGCAGGTTCTGTCTTTGAGAGCGACAAAGGCTGGAAGTCCTCCTGGAAACTGGTTGAGAATGCATCTGGATTGTGCCTCTCCAGAAAAGGGATATTGGTGGATAGGAAGAACTCTTTGCCCACAGGACGGGTTTGGATCAGTGTTTTTACCACTGAAGTCATATTGGATACCACCAGTGTTGTCCTTACATTACTGTAACTCTTTGGTCTTCTTCTGAAGCAGGTGAAAAATGCTACAATGCCTCACCATGGAAACCTCTGTGGAACATGATGATGCTGATCCTGTTGCTGCTCCTGCAGAGAAACAAATACATCCCATGTGGTGTCCTGTTACCTGGCCAAATGCAATGTACGGGACACACAAAACTGTTCAACTGTAACATTTTATTATACATCAAAAAAGGACACACAAAACAACTGTTCACACTGAAGTAATGAGCCTTAACAGAAAAAAAACAATCCAAATGGTCCTGGTTTTCAGACTGTCATCGATTATCTAACAATATAACTACAGACTTCCCATCATCTGGCTTTGCTCCAGGTACAAAAGTGCCGCTTGACACAAGTTTCCTCACCTATAAGAACCTATTAAATATTTTGAGTGGACATGTTCCTCTTCTCAAGACTTATATGCATATTTCAGCATTAACTTAAACTTACATTATCAACTTGCAGAGTAGCATGATTCAGTGTGCATTTGAGCACACAATGCAATTATATGGAAAGTCTTTGAAGTTGTGCCTGACAAACAACAAAAAAGTACATATAACACCACATCAAAAGAAATGCTGTCTATGGTTAGCTATGACATGCATGTAATATAAAGAAATGCATGCATAGAAAATAAAGTATCTTGCAAATGTAATTAGGCATATGTAATAATGTCATTTAATTTAAAATGTAACAAAATTATAGACTGTATTTGCTTGCCATACTTGCACACATTCACACATGCTGTTTTGTTCATCCCTATCCCTGAATGTGGCTGAAAATAACATTATTACAACAGCAGGTGTCAGTCAAACTTCATTTTGGAGCAGCCTCCGTGCCCTGAACGTGCTTTATGTCTAACAAATTGAATGGCCTTCCAAAGATCACAGTTGTAGTTGCTCAAAACTTAAAATGTGACTCAGTAGCCTACCCTCTCTCAGTCATTACGACATTAGTGCGCTGCCTGCTTTTTAAGTGAATCACACTAATCACGCCATGCTCGCTTTATATTTGTATAATAAAATCCAGTATTATTAAAAACAAAACAGAAACTGTAATGTTATATGAGGTGCTTTTGCTGAATCACAGCACTGAACTGTGTGGTTCTTCTCTAAATTTGCAGTAAGCGGCATAAGCACAATTAGGCCTTTAATTTTAATTGAATTGAATCTCCTTATTAGAACTTCGACATTAATCGGGTCTAAAAGAGCGATTAAATGTTTCTAAACATTAAATTCGTCGTACAGAATAGCCTATATAAAAGAGAAAACACACCCGCAGGATTTTATTCCCAAGGAAACAAGCAGACGGAAGTGACGTCTTTTAGCGCCAGCCTCTTCCGCTCTCTTTTCGTTGAGGCTCAGCTTGCGGCCGGGTGGGTACACATTTTGTCCATTTCATATTTGTCTATTTTTAGTGGCCGTTGAGATGTTGAACGCGATTAAAACAATATAGTATCCTTCGTATATCGACATTAATTGTGTATTAAATATTACTGGCTCAGTTCGAAAGCAGAAAATAGAGAAAATTGTGACTGTTCTCAACGTCAACGGTACCTTACACATGTGGCTAGGCCCCTCTGCTGCTAACAGTAGCTAACATCATTAGCTGCTGAGTAGAAACCAACATAACCTTTCACGATTAATATTATAATATGAAAACGGTGGCGATATTAAGACTTGATTTATACTGAATGTATATGGCGCACCTCTGTGTCGTTGTTTTTGTGGTAAAATATGCTTTCAAGTAACGTTGTGTCGTCCGCGAGTTAGCAAACTTAAACTTGTAACGTTAGCTAACGCATTTTTCTCTCTCAGCCTGCAAACATGCAGATCTTCGTGAAGACGTTGACTGGGAAGACCATCACCCTAGAGGTTGAGCCCAGCGACACTATCGAAAATGTAAAGGCAAAGATCCAGGATAAGGAAGGTGAGCCGGCACAATTAACTAAGTTTGTCAGGTAACGCTAGCAATTTCATGACTTTACAAATACATCTTCGTAATCCACTTTCTACCTTTTAGATTTTATTCATTTTGGTAGAAAAGTGAGTTGATCTGTTGAAGATATTTTTCTTAAGAGCAACCCATTAGATTTGATCCTATGTGGGACTGGATTTCTAGTCCTCAAATCGGTCTATTTAACTAGTTAAAGTTACTTCAGTTCAAAGCATGTGGCAGGTTTTGTCAATTTCAAAAACGGAAACAAGATGTTAAGCAGGTAGACATTCAAGTAAAACATTTGATGTTTGACATGTGTGAATCATGGTAGTCTTTTCAACTACAAAGCATCTCTGCCTCATGTACGTGTAAGTTGTAATTGTTGGTCAAATGTAATGCCGTTTGGTTATGTTTTGTTTACAGGAATTCCTCCTGATCAGCAGCGTCTGATCTTTGCTGGCAAACAGCTGGAAGATGGACGCACATTGTCTGACTACAACATCCAGAAAGGTAACAGTCTATTTAAAACAAGGCCAGATGTGCTGAATGTGTCAGTGGTCACAGTAAACTTCAGACCAGCGTATTAAGAAACTGCTAGTGGCTAAAAGATTGTATTGAGAATGTTAAATAGACCTCTCCCAGGAAACTTAAGGATTGTTTTATCATAAATTGTACTACTAATACATACCCAGTATATTGTAAAATTGCATTAGATGTAAATTTTAATGCGTATAAGTTTGAAGTTCTGTTGTTTCATTAATAACTAAGGTTTTACAGTGTGCCTGGTTTTTGTAAGTACTTGCATAGAGAAGTTTGTTGTGACTGAACTTGAGATTGATATCCCTAACCCTTACTGCCACCAGAATCTACCCTGCATCTGGTTCTGCGTCTGCGTGGTGGCATCATCGAGCCTTCACTCAGACAGCTTGCCCAGAAATACAACTGTGACAAGATGATCTGCCGCAAGTAAGTCTTGAAAATCATTAAAGCAGTCTGTTTTTTTTTTGTTTTTATTTGATCTAATTGTGTGCAGTACAGCAGTTGTTTACAGTGAAGTGGTTAAAGTTCAGATTAAAACACTTTAAATAGCACTACAAGCAGTGTGGTTTGGTCAGTTTTTTTTTTTTTTTTTTTTTTTTTTTGCTGCTGTAGTTTGATTGCAGGGTGTTGTGATTAATTCAAACATAGGCTGAAATAATCAGATAGCATTTGTGGGTAGGTAGAGGCTCAAGTGTTTCATACTAATTAGTTTTAGGTTAAAAAAATGTTTATTTGGCAGATAAACTACTACGTTTGTTAGCATTAGAAATAAATCTCCTGCTGTTAAAATTATAATCCCAAGTTTTGTCCACTTCAGAACATTATTGTTGGTCCAGTAGAATGTTCCGCATAGTTGACCCGTGACTGTTTTGCAGGTGCTATGCCCGTCTGCACCCCCGTGCTGTCAACTGCCGCAAGAAGAAGTGTGGGCACACCAACAACCTTCGCCCCAAGAAGAAGCTGAAGTAGACATTTCGACTGCAACAGCACTCAATGCCATTTTGTGTTAAAATAAATGTAAGAAGAAGAAATGGTGAATTTCTGTCTTAATTTGAGTTCATGTGTACAATACATACTTGTGAGGGTGTGCAAGGTGTTTAACAGTTAAAAGTAACAAGACTGACAAAAAGCAGATGAAGCTGGCGCAATACTCATTTTACTGTTTGCCAAATTTTCCCAAATGAAGATATACAGTATTAATGAGAGTCTGGCTAGTGGTTTAACTCAGATACCTGTTCTAAGAAGCCTATTGTCTAGGTAATTCAGTAAACCTGCTGCTTGGAACTGGCACTGGTTTAAACAAACAGTGGGTGTACTCCTAACCTGACTGGCACAGTGCCTGTTGGGAATGGTTTCCACTTTATTTCAGCTTGGCACACAAAGCACCACATGCAGTTTGTTTTAACCTGAATTGATGCTGCTGCGTGGCACAAACAAAATACGTGTCCCATCTGCATCATTAAACATGCTGGTAGTCACTGAATTCAAATGAGATACTTTACGTTCTCTGCAAACACACAAAGCTGTGAAAAGATAAGTTTATTGCAGCATTTTCAACACCTGTTGCTGCTTATCAGCTGATAGAAATTCATACCTGCCACCTGCCCTCCATTTTAACAGGTTCCACCCTTGCTTCACTGCAAGCGGCACAGCCAAATCCATGGCAACCACTGCCTGTTTAGAGTGTGATGAACTGATTGAGTCTGAGCTGACTGACTGTATTTTCATTATCATCTTACATGGTGGAAAACTAAAATAACAGTTGTCAAGGAAAAAATATGTGGAAGTGTAAGATGCAAAATGTAAGAATGCGTACACAAGTTTCTTACCCTCATCACAAAGACCACAGCAGTGACTTTGCATGACTTAGTTTTAATGTTGAACAGTTCTATACAAATATAAGAACTCATCTCATTTTGTCAAATCCCATACAAACACCTGCTCTACTCAGTTCAGTTATTCTTCTAAAACAAAATCGTGGCTACCGGGTGACAGTATTCCTCTGTTCAATACATCAATGAATCTGAGGTATTTTGAGTCGTACTTAAAAGTCACGTTTCGGGCAAAGAGCCGTTAAAATTGACGAGATGAATTTCAGTATCATACAGAGTTTGTGTTTATTCCAGTTGATGTGGCTTCAGCATGACAGCGGTGCATCTTTGGTACTGCTTTCTCTCTTATACCTGGCAACATATGTTTTAAAAAGGCCTTATTCCAGTGTATTTAAGGAGAAGTTTGCCCTTACTGTGGGAGGACAGTCTCCCTGCCCCCCCTATCTGTGTATACAGGAACTACTTGTATATTTACACTGTATTAATGTGTATTAAGGATACACTGGAATAAGGCTGTTGTGAAGTGTTTTTGACATCAACTGTGAGGAGCTGATGGCCTGCATTTTCTTCATGCTTAATAAAAGGTTGGTAGCATCTGTCATCATCTGGTGAAGCCATGAAAAAAAAAAAGTTAAAATGGATGAAAACAGGTTTTACAGAGCTCTCATTACAAAGTACTTGTATTTACTATAAACAGGCATCTATGCTAGAAACTTTATTGCTAATTCAGTGATGCTTGCATGTAGCAGCTGATGAACTCCCAGATAATGTAGTAACTTGTCAAAATGATAGGTCAATCTGATTGAGGGAACAACAAAACCTTTAATGTAATTAATAGCAACATAGTGCAGTAACTACGGGTATTTGTTGTGATTGTTGAACTGTAGAGGTAATAAGACTGAAAATTTAACTCAAACTATAATGTAAGTTGTGGTTTTAAATACACCATTGGTGAAAATGAAAATGGTTAAACTCTTTCAAAGTAGTAATTGCAGGTTAATGTAATATTTGGTAGTTTATTACATGAACAGTTTATGACCTGTTTAAATCACATTTTGACATGTTGTGATCCTGGCAGTTAACTGCACTATCAGCTGCAAGAGACTGCACCTTATTTCTACCTATATTACTATCTTATGAAGAAATCAATAACTCATTAGGGGGTGAGAAGCAAAGATTGATAGCTATTGTGCATCAGAAGTTCTCACATACAAAGCTGACAAGTCAATTAAGTACCCACTTAACTAAAACTACTGCAGTTGTGCTTTTTAATTCAAGCAATCTGAGGTTGCACACTGCTAAATATTGTGCACACATACACAGCTTCACATTCCTTGGCAGGGCTTCTGCAGAGCTCATGCAGTACTCTTAGTCTATCTTTATCTATGCTCTGCGGCTCCACTGAGCCTCTCTCTAGGGTTTACTATTAAGGTAGTGTTTAGCAACACAGAAAGTACATAAAGTAAAACTGGATCATTTTGTGAACACTGACAAATGTAAACAAAGTTAAACTTGGCACAAACACTATCAAGTGCAATCTCAGATTCAGCTCAACATCAGGGTGGGAAATCAGTCTCTGGACACAGGGACACATCAGGACATTTCCTTCACATGCCGATCTACCTGTCAAAGTAGCCTGGTGGAGAGGACAAACCTACCAGCCGCAGCTTCAATTTGGCCAGCAACCATCACTGATTTCCCATCCTGGCTGAGAGTAACCCATCGATGAACATGAACAATACAATAAGTGTTGAGAAAGAGCAGTACTCATAAAACATAAACGGCCGTACGTCCTCAGAGGACAGACTGTGAGCAGGTTGTTGCATCTCTTGAGTTTGTTGATGTTCTGGCTGGTATGAGGCCAGTCCAGGCTGCTGATGGTGAACTGGAGCTGACTTCCTTCAGGGTCATTGCATCCATGTGTCTTTACCCTGACCCATCCTCTACTGGGTGCATCTCCACAGTGTTTAAGGAACACTGAAAACATCAGGACCTCAAGGTTGTTATTGTGTAAAAGCAGACATTTGATTTGTCTCACGGACAGTATCTTCTGAGATCTAATAACATTATGAGAATGTATAACTAAAATCCTAATTCATTCAGGATTATTATGTGTCAAAGTCTTCTGCCAAACTGCAGGGAAAAAACATTTATGAACAGTCACTTTGTTGTTTCTATAAACCAAACGTCCAGAATTATGATAAATATTTATGGTTAGTATATATCAAATCCTGATGCAAGTCCTGTTGTTCCAAGACTGGAGTTTTACCGTCTGTTCCCAGACACTGTTCAGTGGTTTAGACCTCCAGCTGTGCAGGAAAACAGAACACCACTAGCTTTTAATAATTACCTTCACTATTATCTTTTTATTCTTTCCTAGTTTTACTGCTACTCTTGCCTCTCAAATCAGTGGGACAATATATTAATACAAGTGGATTGCCCACGCTATATTAAAGATATATCACACAAAACTAACTAACGTAGAAAATCCTGTTACCTAATACTTGTTGGAATGTCTACTTTTGCAAAATATCAAGCTTAAAATCAGTGCTGGTGCAAGTCCTCATTCAAAGGTGCTTTGTGTGTTATTTGTTATCAATAAATCATACTCCCAGTCCTTTTGAGACTGTATAATTACCCTAAACAATTGAGACCATCACTGAAGACTGTCAGCTTATAGCAGCCATAACTCAGCATTTTACATTGTAAACCACAGGGTCAGCCTTTGACTAAATACACTGGATTGCTATGGTAAACAAGGGGAGAAGGGCACTATTCCAGTGCAAACTGATATAAAATTTTCAGTGATGGTAGATGGTGAAAATAGCCTGGTGTAAATATAATTTATTCCTTTCAGGTTAGAGGGACTGACGGACATGCAGCTGCTAGGAACTTTGATCTGGACAAATAAGTAGTAGCCACATAAACCATACTGTCAGCTATTTATGATTATCATACCCAGGTTGCAATATTAATGTGACATGCTTTATTTTGCACATAGCACCTTTAAGAGGTTTCTGATACATGTTTACCTGCACTAATCTTAAAAAACCAACTTATCCATGAAGCTTTTACATTTTACACCATATTGCTTTGATTTTTGCCTAGCTGATACCAGTAAAACACAAAATCAAGGCTACATGGGTGGAACCAGTGCTAACTGTGGAGATGCAGCCAAATTGCTGCTGTGGCTATTTGTCGATTAGCTTTGCCAGGCTCTGTCTCAGGTCATTCAGGTCACAGATTTTGACGTCCAGAACATTGATGATACGTCGGACCTCAACCTCCGCCTGCTCCTGCTCCTCCCGGCTGGAGGCCAGCGTCTTTTCAGCACTCTGAACCCGATCCTCCAACTCAGTGTTTCGCCTTTCCACATCCTGCAGGCACATTAACTGTTTTAAACAGTTTCCCCATGGAGATATATTTCTGGATATTCGCTGCATGGCTTGGTGTCCAAACTGTACACACTGTTTGTATTTTTGTGACATTTGCATGAGCAACCACTGCTCATAAAGGTTTATATAATGTTTTTAATTTTTTTGGAATACATCTTGCAGAGAAGTATTGTAAATCACTCTGAACAAGTGTGTTTGCATAATGTCTAATGTAAGCCTGGAGTAAAGATTTCCTGCTGGTATTTTTGCCACTTCTGTCCATAAATATGCCTTAATAATAAATGCTAGAGTGGGATAGGGGGGCTGACAATAATGCACATTCTTCTGCCTGTATGGTGCCTCTCTCTAAGTTTTAGGCATTTAGATGGATCACAACATTTACACAAATGTGTATATCTGCTAACTGAGTTTGTGATGAAAAGTATAATGTGTATGTCTGCATGCCTTTATAGTATTGGTGAATTTCTGACTTTCTGTAAATTTAAATTACAATGTGAATATAGTACAGAAGTATGCTGTAAAAAAAAGAGCTTTGGAGCACAAGTAAGCAAGTAAAGCATCTTGCTTAAAAGCACATTGGAAGATGATTGTTGCAGGTTTGAACAAGAACCAGTTCAGCTTTACATAAATGCCTGGAAAATTTATTTATTCCTAGTGTGGATGCTGACTGCAATTTTGTGAGAATGTCACATCAGGCTTATTTGTTTTAAACTGTTTATACTGCAAATTTGAATGTGCAAGTGTGTGCTTTACGAGGTCATTCTGTATGCCAAAATGCACCAATGAATACATTATGGAATGAACAAAAGGA